TCTGTACGGCAAAGTGAATCAGCTATACGTATACATATATCCCCTCTTCTCCTTCCCATTTAGGTCACCACAGAGCATAAGAGTTCCCTGTGCTATACAGAGGTTCTCATTAGTTATCTCATTTTACTCATAGCATCAGTAGTGTATATGTGTCAATCCCGGTCTCCCAATTCCTCCCACCACCACTTCCCCCTTGGTATCCATACGTTTGATCTCCACGTCTGTGTCTCTATTTCTGCTCTGCAGATAAGATCATCTATACCATTTTTCTAGATTCCACATATATGTGTTAATATATGATATTTGCTTTTCTCTTTCTGACTTACTTCACTGTGTATGGCAGTCTCTAGGTCCATCTGCATCCCTACAAATGATCCAATTTCATTCCTTTCTATGGCTGAGTAATATTCCATTGTATATATGTACCACATCTTCTTTATCCATTCCTCTGTTGATGGACATTTAGGTTGCTTCCATGTCCTGGCTATTGGAAATAGTCTTGCAGTGAACATTGGGGTGCATGTGTCTTTCTGAATTATATTTTTCTCAGGGTATATGCTCAGGAGTGGGATTGCTGGATCATATGGTAGTTCTATTTTTAGTTTTTTAAGGAACCTCCATACTGTTCTCCATAGTGGCTGCACCAATTTACATTCCCACCAACAGTGCAAGAGGGTTCCCTTTTCTCCACACCCTCTCCAGCATTTATCGTTTGTGGATTTTTTGATCCTGGCCATTCTGACCAGTGTGAGGTCATACCTCATTGTAGTTTTGAATTGCATTTCTCTAATAATTAGTGACATTGAGCATCTTTTCACGTGTTTGTTGGCCATCCTTTCTCTCTTTGAATAATGGCTGAGCAATGTGCCAAGACCCGGGGATACACTGATGGCCCAGACACCCAAGATCCCCTGACTTCAAATGTTCATCTCAGGGTCTCCAGCCCTAGTTGTGCCAGAGCCCAGCCTAGTGTCCGACCTTGGTACACATCTCTGGAACTAGGTTGCACTGAGCATTAATCAAAGACCCCCTTCACGTAGTGCTGTGTAGACGCAGATCTGAGTTTCTCAGCCTCGCCGCTGTCGGCGTTTTGGGTGGGATAATTCTTTGCTGTAGGGGGCTGTCCTGTGCATTGTAGGATGTCTAGCAGCACTCCTGGCCTCTACCCACCAGTTTGCCAATAGCACTTCCCTCCCCAGTTGTGTGACAACCAAAAATGTCTCCAGCCATTGCCAACTGTCCCCTGAGGGGCAAAATCACTGTCGTTGATGTAGATTTAGTACTGACCTTCCAAAAGTGTGGTCTTAACCACAGGACTCCGTTTTCTTTCGTAGATACCTGAGAGGTCTTTGTAAGAACGTGAGAGGCAAGAAAAAGAATATAAGCTTTCTTTGTGTAATAGCAGCTTTATCGGGCTGTGATTCACCTCCCATAAAATTCATCCTTACATTTTCAATCGTCCAATTCAGTGATTTTTATACATTCACAGAGTTGTCCAACTATCACCGCTAGCTGGTTTTAGAACATTTTCATCATCCCCAAGAGAAAACCTGTACCTATTAGCAATCCTTCTTCTTTTGCCCCTTCCCCAGCCCCTGGTAACCACCAGTCTACTTTCTGTTGCTGTGGATCTGCCTAATCTGCATATTTTATATACACAGAATCATAACATGTGGTCTTTCATGACTGGATTCTTTCACTTAGCATGTTTTCAAGGTCCGTTCATGTTGTAGCACATATCAGAACATCATTGCTCTTTTAAGGCTAAATAATAATACATTGTGTGAATACGCTACATTTTGTTGATCCATTCTTCAGTTGATGGACATTTGGGTTACTTCCATGGAGAATTCCCTGGCAGTCCAGTGGTTAGGACTCAGCACTTTCACTGCTCGGGCTCCGGGTTTGACCCGTGGTCGGCGACCTAGGATCCTGCAAGCCATGCAGTGTGCGCAAAAAATAAAATAAAAAATAGAAATAAAATATTTCATTGATGTATTATAATAAGTAAAATAAAATATGCACAAACCAACTTGAATGGGCCTCTGTAAAAAAGAGATACTGCTGCTATGAACTTTCATATACAAGTTTTGTGTAGGCATATGTTTTCATTTCTGTTGGGCATGTACCTAGGAGTATTTTAATTGCTAGGCCATATAGTAACTCTGTTTAGTATTTTGAGGAACTGCCAGACTGTTTACCAAAGGGTCTGCACCGTTTCACATTCCCACCAGTAGTTTATAAAGGCTCCAATTTCTCCACGTCCTTGCCAACATTTGGTATTTTCTTTTTGGTTATAGCTATCCTGGTGGGTGTAAAGGGTTATCTCATTGTGTTTTCGTTTTGTATTTTCCTGATGACTAATGATGTTAAGCTACTTTTCATGTGTACCTTTTCTGGAGAAATGTCTGATTATATCTTGTCCGTTTTAAAATTGGGTTGTTTGGTTTTTATTGTTGAATTTTAAGAGTTCTTTATATATTCTGGATGCAAATCTCTTAGCAGAAATATGATTTGCAAATATTTTCTCCCATTCTGTGGGTGTCTTTCATTTTCTTCAAGCTGCTCTGATGCAGAAACGTTTTTAGTTTTGATGAAGCCTAGTTTACCTGTTTTTTTCTTTCTTTCCTTGTGCTTTTGGCATCATATCTAAGAAACCATTGCCAAATCTGAGGTCACAAAGATTTACTTCTCAATTTTTTTCTAAGAGTTTATAGTTTTAGCTCTAAATATTTAGGTCTGTGATCCATTTTGAGAATCCAACTTATTCTTTTGCACGTGGATATCCATTTGTTGAAGGAACTTCTTTCCCCATGATCACGACACCCTTGTTAAAAATCAGTTGAACGTAGACGTATGGGTTTACTTTTGGACTCTTCAATTTGATTCCATTGGTCTGTATTTCTGTTATAACTTTTTTTTTTAATTTTTATTTATTTTTATTTTTGGCTGCATTGGGTCTTTGTTGTGGTGCACGGGCTTCTCACTGCGGTGGATTCTCTTGTTGCGGAGCATGGGCTCTAGGCGCGTGGGCTTCAGTAGTTGTGGCTTGCGTGCTCTAGAGCGCAGGCTCAGTAGTTGTGGCGCATGGGCTTCATTTTTCTGCAGCATGTGGGATCTTCCCGAACCAGGGCTCGAACCCGTGTACCCTGCGTCAGCAGGCGGATTCTTACCCACTGTGCCACCAGGGAAGCCCTCTGTTATAACTTTTAAGTCACTGTTTCCTTACCATAGAAAGATGGTAGGAAAGTGCCTTTGATAAACAGAAGGGTGAAGGAATCAAGGTAACGTGCGTGGATGTGTGGTTAAAAAGTATATAAAATATTGATCACATTTTGGAATTAAAAGGGATCTTAGAGGTCATGTTAGTTTAAACCCTTTGTTTTGCTGATGGGGGATAAAAAGATTAAATTTCGACTTCAGAGGTTAACAAATCTGCCCAAAGATTTACGACTCATCATTGGCAGAGCTGGGCAGAGCTGGGCAGAGCTGGGATTAGAACCCAAATCTCTTGATTTGGTAGGGCAATGTTTTTTCTTATTCCAGGCCCCAGGTCTGCCTGGACTTCCTTTACCAAACGAGTGAGGTTCTGTCTTCCCCTCCCTCACTTCTTGGTCCACAGAAGTGAATGGGGTGGTGGCGTGTGTCTGTTTTTTCCCTTAGAGCCTGAGAAGAAAGAAAGCCAGTGCGAGGAAAGCATTTGGAAAATCTGAAATTGCTATATAAATGCCACTAAATGATAAGATTACCAGTTTGATGGTCCTCTCCCAGGAAGGTTCAGCATGTCAGGGGCGGCATAATGAAAGGAAATTCTCCACTCCCAGACACGTTTTAAACTGCTGCTGTTGGTGGTTACTTTTCGACGGAGGCAGGGTGTGGGGAGCTGGAATTCCAGGGGACTGAAGCCTCAAAGTGGGCTTGTGTAGCCAGGTCTCAGGTGGGCCGGGCTGGCCGGGAGAGGCCTGGGGCGTGGTGCCTCACCCACCCCTCAGGGACCCAGGTAGATGGAAGAGTTCCTCCTGGCTCGTGCACTCAGAATGGGGTGCCTGGCCCTGAAATGACAATGTCCGATGGTGGTCCCTTGTGGCTCCTCAGAACATACCTGCATGTCTGTTTCCCACTGACAGTGGTATCACCTGTCCCACCCAGAGGGAGTCCTGTTCCAAACCACGTCGGGGAGCGATTTCCCCTAAATGCTGAGCCCCTAGAGGGTAGGAATTGTGTTCTCTTTACCTCTGTCTCTGCTGTGACTAATGCATGCTGAGTCCTCAGTAAACATATGTTTGGCTGTTGAAGAGAGGTGTTGGGTGAATAGAAGCTGCTCTCGGGGTACATGGGTCCCTTGCAGAGGGCATGGACCTCTCCAGCTACAGCAGCATCTCTGTGCCTCTCTCTTTCCTTCCTGTGTCTCTGATTGCTTCTTCCTCTAAGCTTCAGCTGCATTCACTGTCTGCACTGTCCGTGTGTTCTGATATTTATCATTTTATCTGTATGTCGTGTCTTTGCAGCTAAATCACACCTTTCTTTGACAAGGGGAGCTCTGTTCTGTACTTATTTGGGTCACCCATGTAGAGTACATGCTCCTTGGTGTGTGTCTTTCCATGGGGAAGTTGGTCCCCCTGATATTAGTCACCTGCCGCTGAACTTGAGGCCAGTGGTGGCCGCCCTTCACTGAAGTGGCATTCCACTGGCCAGTTGCTGTCGTATCTGCATGGCATACGGGCTTATTTGGGGAGCCAGCATTTTGAAAGGGCTCAGAGTTGATTGGTGGGAAATGAATGAAAGAAGGAAACCTTAATCACAGCCTTTTAGTGCCTGTACCCCCAGGCATGGCAGCCTCTCCCCTGTATCCCCACTGAGACCAGCACCAGATGATGCTGTGACTGTAACTGAATACTGGGTCTCCATCCATCAAAGGGCCGATGATAGTAGCCCAGCTTCCTTTGTGGTTGCACTCACCAGCTCGGTGGATCTCACTGTGTGGTCTCCTCCTCTTTCAGGGCTCTGGCCGACATCTTAAGACAACAGGGACCAATCCCCATAGCACACTGTGAAAGAGAAACTATCTCGGCTATCGATAGCTCTCCCAAAGAGAACACGCCGGTCAGATCATCCTCGAAAAACCACTACACTCCCGTGCGCACGGCCAAGCAGACTCCAGGTAAGTGAGAGCTGATCACCTTGCATCTTTGCTGAGGCTGGTGAGAAGTTTCGGTGGTGTTTCTGCTTCAGCTGGGCAGGAGCCGGTCCTGGAGCCCTGGGCAGGTGGCTTGTGGAAGAGTCTGGGGACTGTTCCCCTGCGGAGAGAGTGGCGTGGGAGACTGCCGCCGGTGAGTGTCCAGGCTGGAGCAGAGCTGTTGGTTTAGGGCGTCTGTGATTTAGTGAATGTCTGCGTAATCCTCTTCCCTGAAAGGAGCTTGCAGTAGCCTTGGTGATGGAGTATGGTCACCTTCTTGCTCACATGGTGGGAAGGTAGATATCTGACAAGAAGTGGCTGCACTCAGACGTAGAGGCGGATGAACTGTCGGAATCTCAAAGGGACTTCCTGAGAGTAAGGATTATGTTCAAAGGGACTTCCTGAGAGTAAGGATTATGTTCAAAGGGCACTTCCTGAGAGTAAGGATTATGTCTGTGTTGTAGGGTTACTCTTTTCTGTGCTCTGTGGATTCTCTGGATATATGATGAGTTGCCATGTGATAGTAATATACCTTTTGCTCTTTACTTGGTCTTTATTGTAACCCATGTGGAACAATAAACAAAGCAAGGAAATAATGATAAATAATATAACCTCAGATTTATTGGGATCTTGTGCTGTGCCAAGGGTTATGCTGAACATTTTACATGCATTGTCTTACTTATTTTTCACAGCAATCTTAGAAGTGCTTGTATTATCTTCTTTTTATGTGTGGAACAGAAAAGCTCAGTAATTTTCCCAAGCACATACGGTTGGTAAGAAAGCAAGCCGGCAGTCAAACTGAGGCATGTGGGTAACAACGGTCGGGTCTAGAAACCCTAGTGTCCTAATCCAGTTTGGGACATGAATCCGAAGTATCTGGGTGGATGGTCTCCTTATAAGTGCAGGTGGGGAGCTCATCTCTTACTGTGAGCATTACCAGTCTACTACTGACTCCAGTCTCAGACACAGCTTCTGCTTTGATACTTGGATTTGAAATCTTCACGTCTGTCACCCTACAGCTTTTCAAAGGATGGGCTATATGGTCTGAACTAAACCTGCAATAAAGATATGCAGCCACTAGGTGGCAATAGAAGTGTCCCAAATTCAAACTAGCAGATGTGCTGTTGAAACCAAATTGGTTTTCCATTCATTCTTTAATTTTCTTACATTTATTAAATCAGAAATCACATACTTGTCTTTAAGGTAATAAGAGTTAAGTCATTTGAGACTCTGATAAAAGTTAAGGACATTCGCCTCCCCCAAATATATACATATGAATATATATATATCCATGCAACATTTTGCATAGGATTTAAGGGGATTCATAGACCCTTCTGAAGTTAAAAATCCCTGACTTAAAAGTAAGGATGAGAGATCCACCTTTTCAAAAAGTCTAAGATGCATTTTTAGCCTGAATATCATAGATGTTGAAAATGTAAGCAATAGAAGAAGTGGGCAAAAACCCTGACACCAGTAGTTGTCTCCCTCGCTGCATAGCAGAATCACCTGGGGAAGCTCTTAAAAATGCTGATGATGCTGGTGCCTGGGCCTCACAAATTAACCAGAATTTCTAGGGATGCTGCTGGCAGCAGTATTTTTAAAAATCACTTGAAAGTGATTCTAACATGCAAGACAGAATAAAGAACCACTCGTCCAGATGGATTCCTTTATTTAATGAAGGAAGACACTGAAAGGTTTTGCCAGTAGTTCTCGAACTCGGCTGCACATTGGAATCACCTGGGGAGCTTTAAAAATTAAGGGTACCTGGGCCCCACCCCCAGAGATCATAGTTTAATTGATGTGGGGGCGTGGCCTGAGCAGGAGGTGATTTTAATATGGAGCAGAGTTTGGGAATCACTGGGCTGTGGAAATTGCAGAAAGGTGCCATTCTAACTAATGTTTTGAAGTCAGGCTCCTCCAGAACGTTGTCTGTGATTCTGGAACTTCAGGTCACTCTGGTACCCAAAGTACCCCTGGGAGCTTACCTTCATCCCTCTCTCTTCCAATTTTCTCTGTCTTATTCACAAACCAGCTAGTTCCCAGCCACTGAGTCCAGACTGATTAAGTGGATGGTCTAGATTTGCCCTTAAATGCCTTTCACAGGGAGGGAAGATTTGTCATTTCTTCTGGTTCCTATATACATCCTCTCCTCTGTTAATCTGAGAAGAGAAGCTTAAAGTTAAATGATTCACTCCTATGTTTTGAGAAATCCCTCCTATGTATTTCTCAAATTGGAACTCTTTACTTGGCTTTTAGAGATGGGAATTGTTCCCTGGCCCAGAAAGCATTCTCAGTGGTGATGCTTATATTTAAAAGCAATTTCATAACTATCTGCAACATCTACAGCTTGTAATGGACACAGCTGCTTTTCCGAATAGCTGATCCTTCGCCACAGAAGACTGCATTTGGAGCAGAAGTCTAAACAGAACTTTGTATAGGTGTTCAAAGTGGTGATTTACTGTGATTTTTGCCACTGGTCAAATCCACAGATCACTGATCATAGGAGGATGGTGGCAAGAGTCTTGTAGAGGGATCTTGAGGACAGAAATCCCAGGAGGCATCATAGCATACGAGTAGTTTTGCTACTCAAAATACTGTCCAAGGACCAGCCACATCAGCCGTTCGTGAGAAATGCAGAATCTCAGGCTCCATCTCACCCGATGAAGGAGAACCTGCATTGTCATGAGATCACATAGCAAGTAAAATTTGAGAAGCCCTGGAAAAACATGGGCTCTGACATTTGCGTCTCAGTGTGTCTCCTGAGCCCGTCACATTGCTATGTATGTGACCTGGACAAGTTTCTTTGTCTAAGTTTCCTCATCTGCCCTTGAGACTAAAAGTACCTGCTGTGTGGAGTTGTTTAATAAGTTAAACCAAGGAGAGCACTTAAAATAGGTCCTCACTGTACCGAACCTCAATTTTAGCCATGGCCGGGCTATGGAGTTTTGCCCCACTCACGGCAAGCAAATCAAATTAATGAGAGAAATAAAGGCACTGGTATCCTTAGACCAGGCAGGGTCCATGAGGTCGTGTCTGGGATGAAAGCCCCCGGCCCCAAGCCTTCTGTGCTTGGCCCCTGCCTGCGGCACCTCCTCTGAGGATGAAAGGGCTTGTAGGGCTTTACGGAGCTCTGGCAAGTCAAAAGCATACCAAACCGAAACCAACCAAACAAAAAAATATATATATTTTTTGTTTGGTTTAGGGAATGGAGTGAGGGTCCTGTCTTAATAAAAACAATGGTACCATGAGTATGGGGTACCCACTATGTGCTGGGTAGTCTGTTAGGTACTTTATTTACAATACACAGCGGATCCTGTAGCATTTCTTAGGTATAGGATCTCCCGTTTCCACATTAGCAGAAAATTCCTCTTTCCTTCTATAAGAGCCCTTTACCCTAACCTAACTCTTTCAGAAATCCCTTTCCAACTTTAAAAGGAGCTTCAATACTGGACATTTACTTTGGACCCGGAAAATCCGTGAAGCCCATTTCCATCTCCCACCCCACAAATCTGGCTGCCTCTAGACCCTCACTACTCAAAGTGTGGTCTATGGACCAGTAGTGAGTGCATGCCATGAGAGCTGGTTAGAAATGCAGACGCTTGGGCCCTTCCCCAGACCTATTGATTCAGACTCTGCGTTTTAACAAGATCTTTAGGTGATCTGTACACACATTAAAGTTGAAGAAGATCCCTTTAGCACAGCGAGCATCAGCCCTGACTGCGCATTGGAATGATGTAGGATATTCTGAGAATACGAATGCTAACGTCCCAAAGATTCTTGGGACATTAATACTAATGTCCCAAAGATTCTGATTTAATTGGTCTGGGCTAGAACCTAGGCATTAGCATTTTTCAAAAACTTCCCACACGGTTCCATTGTTCAGCAAACTGAGGACCAGAGCTAGAGGGAGATTATCAAATAAGGCAAACATCCTCGAGGACTGTGGAGTTTGAGTTCACATCAAGACTCGAGTTCACATCAAGATAGAGCTTGGCTGGTCCTTCTTACTGGGCTGCAGGGTTAAGTCCTCTCCATGGCAGGTGGGCAGGATGGAGCAGAGGGCCTGGGCTCATCTGAGAGAGGGATGGGGTCAGTCTGCAACTATGAATGGGGACACCTGGGCAGAAGCAGGCGCAAGCAGACATATGGTTGGCCCCCCATCCACGGATTCAACCACCCTGGATCCTTTACTATGTTTGCCGTCTGCAGTTGGTTGAATCCTCGGATGTGGAATCTGCAGATACAGAGGGCTAACTGTAAGACTTGCGCATCTGTGGAATTTGGTATCCGTGGCAGTTCTAGAACCAATCTGGTGGATACCAAGTGCCGACTATCAGAATTGATTAGCAGGCCAAGCAGAGCCAGGCATCAGGAAACGTATCACATCTGCAGTTGCAGGTCCCCTGAGCCCAGGATCTCAGAGGCTCGCGGTGGGCTTCATAGATGGGAAGGAGTGGGGACCTCGCGTGTCCACCTGGCCTGACTCTCTCCTAAAGAGCCTGTCTTGGGGCAGCTGGGGGGAGAGTGGTGTACCCATCCCTTGCTGTAGCAATGACTTCGTGTATTAAGTTTCCAGAGCCTTGATATCCAACTTCCCATGATCAAGAGTGGCGTCTGCTGGAGGAAGTAAGTACTTGTGCCCCAGCTACACACCACTGTGAGTTGGGTACCCGGGCCGTCAGTCATCTGCCCGCTGTCAAAGCCGCGTGCGTTAACAGCAGACCGAGGGAGCCGAGGGGCACGATTCCAAGCTTCGCGGAGACCAAGAATGAAGGCTGGACAGTAGACGGAGGGGCTCTCAGTCACAGCGCTGCGTGGCCCGGCCCCTTGCTGCTCTGTTGAGCTCAGCTCCTATTACCTTCTGCCTTTCTCTCTGGGATCCAGACGCCAGACCCTCCTCACGCCGCGCGTGTTCTCGCCTCGGGGTATTTCCCCCCCCGTTTTGTGGCCGGAAACTTTCCAGCACCAGATATTTGTGCTGTGAG